TTTTCTCCCTATTTGATCCCCCAAATTTAATAACTTTAAGTATCCTTATGATTATTATGGCAATATGGCTATTTTTATAAGTTCGATGAAAATTAACTCTCTTTCTTTATAACAGGATATAATTTAAAACTTCGGATATAAGATAGCATGTCTCGTTTCCATGTTGCTGGCCCCCTTTTTTATGTTTGCCGTAATTTGGCCTGGTGCTGCTTCATCCTGCTGTTCGTCTTTCTCTCCGACGTGGGACAGACAGATCTTCACCTGGGAAACAGCATTCCCAGAAGCATGGGACTTATACAAAGAAAAGTAAGACATTTTCAATCAAGATATTGATCATCAATGCTTTTATGAGGATTGCCTTGATCATAAAGGGGGAAATAACGTCTTCTCTACAAAAGCAGTTCTCTAAATTTTCCTGGCCTTAAAGAGCGTTTGTAACTTGAATGAGACATCCTGCTCTTAAACAAAAGACTTGTAATTGATCAAAAATTTTACATAAGATTAGACACTCTGAAAGCAGTAATCTCCTGGATAGATTAACATTAACAAACTCTCTGGACTCAGAATCAACTACTATATAGAGCAGATTCCCATTCTGGAGTTTCAGCAATTGGTAATTACACCCAATTCACAGCACCTGGCATGATGCTGCTGCTGCCACCCTGAGACGATGACATCACCAGTCCTCACCTGAAGTAAATTAAAAGGACTTGCCATGCTAAATGATTCCAACTTTGCTTTAACAAAATGCTTTTTGTCTTAACTATGCTAACCTGATCTATAGCTCTTGCTTTTTCTTTTAAATAAATAAAACGGGGGTGATGTGGAATATACCATAAAGCATATGTACTTCACAGGGCCTGGTTTTCCCAAGCCTTGCATTTTCAAATATTGACCTTGCAAGGACTGGAAATTTTCCTCAGGCTATAAGTCTCTGGTGTAAGATAAAGATTTGTGGCACAGCAGGTTGCTGGCTCAAGGACTGACTAGTTACTGATTGTTATGTAAAGATACTGAGAAATTGCTGTAAGAAGGAATGTTTGCTATGATCAAGCTTTTGTTGATAGCCTTACCGGAATGTCATCTGGCTTGTTTCACTGAAAGTTACCAGCCTATATTGTTAAACTATAATCCCACCTATGTTCTCTTCCTGTAACTTCCTGGTCTGGAAAATAAATGCAGGAAGAGAACCCCAATTTGGGGTTAATTTCCCAAGGAAGGGATCCCTCTTGCTGGAGGGTTCCAGGGAAGTGAACCACTTTGGGGTCTCTCACTGCTCAGAAGAGATGGGCTTTGAGTAATCCTTTGCATCTCTGTCACCCAGGGGAGGTGGGGTGACAAATCCATGGAGGGCGAAGCAACACAAAGCACCGCTTATGTCCTGTGGACACTTACCTTCTGTCTCCTACAAGTATTGCAAATAGTGTCTCCTGGGCTTCCATTTTATGCTGGCTTTGTTTATGGCATTCTTTGCAATTTTTAATTTCTGAGATTAAATCTATCAAATTTTCCCTTTATGACTTCTGGGATCTGTGTCTTGAGTAGAAAAGTCTCACCCAACTCCACATTATTTTCAACATTTCTTCTAGTGCACATTTTTAGTGTTTTCTTTCTGATTTCCATTTAGATCCCTTTGAGATTGATTGATTGACTGATTTGGGGAGAAGTCTTTTTTTTTTCTCTTTTCTTAAATGTAGGACCTATTTAATGGGTACTGACTGCAAACAAAAAAGAACAGGACTTTTTGTGTGTTTTCAGAGGTGCTTCCAGTGTAGTAAGGTGTCAAGTCTCCCTCCTTCTGCCTGAAGTTCCTGGCAGCAGTTAGTGGATAAGCGTGGGGGAGGCTGGAGGGAGACAGGCCTGACTGCTGTTAGAGACGGGGGGGCTCTGGGAGGTCATGCTCATGCAAGGTCTCTCTTCAGACTTTAGCTGGGATCCCTACTTTCCTAATTTTTCTCTTTGCTTTCTCTTTCTCTTTCTCCTTGTATAAAGCTATTAAGGCTGGAGGGAGGAGACACAAGGAAATAAATGGAAACTCAGAAATCTGATAGAACTTTCAAAAGCACATTAAATCAGCAAGGTAATTTGTGTGAAATCTGAGTCACAGTCTTATTTGTTCTCTGCCAGGAACAGCTGTCCATCAAGATAGAAAGGAAAAAACATAGAATCATGCCACTGTGAGTGACACTGAGGTTGTGCTGTGTCGTCCAGAGGCTGGTTGCTTTTATCTCCAAGTAATTAATGCCTCCTGCACCTCAGATTTTAGCCAGGCTGTGTCCAGGAGGGTGGAGGGTACCTGGGTGATAGGCACTGGCACAGGGGATGCAGCAGAGAATGCGATGGGGCCCCTATGGGGTGCATGAAGAGACCTGCCACAGAACTACACCAGGAAAGCACGACATTCACGGGAGCCCAGGGATGGACCGGGGAAGCCAGCAGGGAAGAGGTAATTTCACATGGTGTGGAAGGGGGGGGGAGGCATTCCAGGAGGAGGGAGCAGCCTGAGTGAAGGCCTGGAGGTGTGTAGGGGTGTAGATCAAGGTCAAGGAAGTAAGGAGTCCTTGAAGGTGCCTAGAACCAAGGGGACTGTGGGGGCAGGGAGTGGGGAGAAGGATGAAGCTGGAACGGGCAGGAGGGCCTGTGTGCTAGGCTAAGGGAGTTGAACTTGACCCTGGGAGGTCATTAAAGATTACTGCCCGAGGAGGATGTCCTGCAGCCACTTAGAAGAAGTTGCTTTGCTGAGAACCTTTGTCCTGCTGCACCTGAAGAGCTCAGGCTAGAGTGATGGGGCAGGGCTGGGGCAGACGCAGCCTGGACTTCCTCCAGCCACCTCCCTTCTACCCATAGCCGTTCCAGGAATTGACCAACCTGCAGGCTAATGTGCTCTAGTCAAGCAGAAGGGACTATCCAGCATCAACACCCTGCTGAGGCCCCAAGCAAGGGTCAGAGCCAGACCAAGAATGACAAGGATGAGATCCAGGTGCAGACTCATTTACAAACGTCTGGCGTCGTCCAAGACCCCAGCTCTTCTGCTCACCCATTTTGTGATTTCAAGACGGCAGCCCTGGCTCCGGAGTCACACAGGAAGAAGGGGGAAAGGTGCAGCCAGCCTTCCTCTCACACCTGCCCCTTACAGCAAGAAGCCCCCAGAAGCCCCTCAGCAGACTTCCCCTTGTGTCTCATTGGTCAGGACTGGGTCACACAGGCATCTCTGGCTGCAAAGGGCCCCAGAAAACAGATACGTGGACACCCAGTCCCTAAGACAAGAAGTGGCAAGAGGGGATGGGGAAGCGAGTGGCTTTTGCATGAGGGCGAGTGGGTGGAGAAGCATCCGGGGGCCTTGGGAACCACTGTGTTGTTAAGATAAAGTCTGAGAGCAAAGAGCAGCAGCTGGAAATAGATCTGCCCCAGAATGACCAGAGCAACAGTGGCTTGGAAAGAGAAAGAAACCTGCTTGAAGGTGTCCCTGCCTTTGATGGCCTGACAGGGATGCTTCCCGGCTGCCTAACAATACGGGTGCATCTCTAGAGTCAGTGCCCTCCAGCCTAGGCCAGCAGGGTCTCTCCTGTCATCAGCCGAACACGCTGCGTCTGTTGTTCTTGGTGAGGGAGAAGGCACACTGTGGAGATCCATGGACGCCAGTAAGAACCTATTATAGGATTTGATCTTTGGTGATTTGAAGGAGGGTCTAAGGAAACAAAGCTCACTCTAGATAGGGTACTACAGAAAGTGGGGGGCAGTTCTGTCAGTGGGTATCTTGGTAAAGCTTGTCTATAGAGTGGGGGGACCAGAAGATCAAAGCTGTACTTGATAAAGAGGGAACAGTCATTCTTTGTAACCAAGAAAGGGAGTATTTGTAGGGTATTTTGTGGGTGGTGCAGAGACCTTGTTTTTGTCCGTGCCTAGACAAAATGATGACATGGCCTTGTTCTGTCTCATTTTATCATGGTCTCAAAGTCACCTTGTCTGAGGTTGACATTCTATAAGATTATTTGTCCAAGAGGAAAGTAACATGGCCTAGCTGAGAGTCCACGCCAGCTTCCAAAGGAAAGGGGATCCTTTTTCTTTCTCAACCCTTACAAATAGGCACATAAATAAATAGAAGGAAAAATATCCACACATATTAGGACTCCCGTTCTCATTGAAATCGATCAACAAATAAACAGTCCCCATTATTTTAACTCTTCTTTGCATTATAACTACCTTTTTTAGCCTTTATATCTGCCTTTTTTTGGTATACTTTATCTCAACTCTTCTCTTTTGAATATTATTATGAACTCATGACCTTTCACAGACTCAACCTGGCCCAACTAAACATGATCATAATAATCATTATCAATTATTATTATTACATTTGAGTTGTTAGGACTTCCTAGTGGGTGCCCCTTTGAGCAGGCTCTGAGCATCTTTGAAAACATCCCTGCTTTCTGGAGCAGCGGAGATCACAGGCCTGTGGAATTCAGGTCCCCTCCAGGGAGGCTTGGTTCCTTTGAGTAGAGAATAAGCTCATAGGTACATATGTGAGGGGCAGGGTGCTGCTAGAAAATATGTCTGTTCAAGATTAGAGTTCACTCTGATTATTTTAGTTTAACATTGTATGTCATCATCCCTACTTTTCTTAGCAAACTTGGTTTCATCAACCACTAAGGCTTCTCCTAAACTGACATTGTTACACCAGGAATCAGGTTTATTTCTTATTGGCACTTGCTCAAACTGTTTCCATCATTAAATTGGTTTTTTTTTTGTTTTGACTTTTTTTTTGGTGGCTGGCTAGTTTGGGGATCTGAACCCTTGACCTTGGTGTTGCAACACCTGCTTCCATCATCTTTAAGGCGGTGGCACCAGAAACCACCCCATTATTGTGGGTAGCAGTTACTCCCTACTATAAAATGACTTCTGTTTTCTTAAAATTAAAAAAAAAAAAATTAAAAGAATAAGTGTATATGGTTAAGACAAATCAACGACTATTGGGGCTCTGCTCACCCCAATTGCTTTCATTTTTAGCTTTTTCTTTAGGTAGTAAATCAATATCTTTAAATAATGTTCTTACACTGGGAGATGGAATAGTGCGAGTGTGTGCTCTGGAGAGAGGAAGCCTGAATTTGAATTCTGGGTGTCACCAGCTGAGGCAAATTACTTAACTTCTCTGAGTTTCTGTTTCCTCCTCTGAAAAATGTGGGTGAGAATAGCACCTTTCTAACAGGGTTGCTGGGAGAACTGTGTGAGAGGAGATAATGCTTACCAAGCACATAGAATGGTGCCTGGAGGAAAGCAGATGGTCAATAAATACAGTCACGTGTTGCTTAATGACAGGATTAGGTTCTGAGAAATGCATCATTAGGTGATTTTGTCACTGGGCAAACATCATAGAGAGCACTTACACCAACCAGGCGGTACAGCCTGCTGCACACCCAGGTTGCATGGTACAGCCTGTTGCACCTACATGAGTGATGTGTTGGGCTGCATTGTGAGGGCTACACCACCACTATGCAGCAGGGATTTTTCAGGTCCGTTACAATCTTATGAGACCACCACCGTATATGGAGTCGTTGACCGAAATGTTATACGTGGTGCATAACTGTACTAGCTATTGCATTTTTCCATTGTCTCCATTTTGAAATTTAGACTCGACTTACTTCCTATTAGAATAGATAAGGATTTCACTTATTTTTACATTCTCTAACTCCCCTCCCCACCTTCTCCTAATATCATTATGTCACTGGTTTTATACCCTCTATCAGAAACTTTGCAGCTGTAGGTAATTTACTTACACCTTTATTTCTTATGTCCTCAACTGGAGTCCATATTTCTTGACTCCCCACTTTGGAAATGACTATATGAATCCCCCTTTTCCTCCCCTCAGTGCTTCGCCTCCTGACTTCCACCACTGTACATTCATTTTTACACTGATTGGTAACAAGTATATTTAGTTCTCATATTTAAATATTCTCTTTTGTTCTAAAAGTTAAAAATCAAACAAGAGTATTGACATTTTTGTGATGTTTTAAATATTACTTACTGTAAAGCTGAGTTGTATGATATGACTGTACACGCTTTCTTACACAGCTTTAGGGTTTTTTCGATGTTTTTAATTGCCTTTGTTTTTTCCCCTTCCACTGTTCACCTTCATCATTTCCTCAGTTTCTTTCAAACTGCGAATGATGTGAGTAGTATATCAAGTCCTCTTTCCCTGCAGAACTCTCCACTTATTCTGTTCTGGATGGGTTACTCTCTAGGCCTGCTGCACAGCCAGCTGGAATCCTCCGATTCCTGTCTTTCTGGGTTGACTTTCCTGTTTCCTGGATCCTATGTCTATCTCTCTCTTGGTTATCCCAACCCGCCCTCTCCATGGAAACACACACACACACACACACACACAATTTTTTTCCCCTTGCAGCTCATTCTCCACACACACACAATCTTTTTCCCCTTGCAGCTCATTCTCAAGTAACTTTTTTTTTTTGGTGTCGGGCCAGTTCAGGGACCCATCAACTATCTTCCTAAGAAATGATTGTGCATGGTAACCTCTTATTCCCCATTTAGCTCCATTTCTTCTGTCATCTTTTTGTTTTATTTTCTGAAAGCTTTCCTTGACTTTCTTTTCCAATCTTTCTCTTGAGTTATTTATTTTTTCAATCACCTTTCAATTCCCAAGATCTCTCATTTGCTCCATTATTTTTTCTCCTTTTCAGTGGATCATGTTTCCATTTTATGAATAAAATATCCTTTTAATCTCCCTGAAGACATGGCTTCAAATTTTAAAAAATCATTTTCTATTTTCAAAATTTTATTTGTTTGTCATGGCCACTCTTCCACATTGATGCCTTCCTCATATATCTGATTCCTAGACTGCCAACTCATATTTAAGAGTGGGGCAGGTCAACTGGCAGGCTTCCCTGTTGGGTGATTGAATAGGGACCCCCTAAGTGCCAGAGTGCAAAGATATTTTTTCTGGGGCCCTTCAATTCAGTCATGAGCCCTCTGATTTTTTCCCTAGGGGGTAGACTCAAGGCTGCCATGAATGCTGTATGGAGCACGGACTGGCCGGCTTAGCCCTGCTTCCACCCTCGTGTCTCCTCTCATCTTTAGTCTCTCTCTGAGGCTCTGCCTAGCAGACCATTTTTGCTGGCTATCTGTCCTCTCTGCATTTCTCTAGACAGTAGCTCCCTCCACCCCTCTTTATTCAGATATCACTTCCCCATCCAGTTCTGTCTTCCCGACATTTGTTGAAGTCTCTGGTCTCTTGTCAGCTTCATTCGGTTTTCCTTGGCATCAGAGGGGGCAGAGGTAGTGTAGGGGTTCCTGGGTCCATGTGGCTGGGATTAAACCCAGTCTTTACCACTTACTAGATTTCTGACCTTGGGCAAGTCAATTAACATCTGTGTTTCAGTTTCTTTATCGATAAACAGGAATACAAAAAGGTTACTGAAAGAATACTGTGAGTTATTGTTTAGAAAGTCTTACAGCAATCACTGGTGCAGGGTGAAGTACACACATGATAGCACCATGTCATTAGCATTTATTATACTTTTATTATACTGTAAGTGCTTTTGCTAGCATTTTTGTTGTGTCTTGGGGGGGGGGTACTTGATAAATGCTCTTTTGCCTTCTTAAAATAGTGCCTAAACACAATCAACACTCGCTTTCTTTTCTCATATCCCAAGGCAAGATAATCACAAACAGAACTTGAACAAATTCTCTCAATATAGAGATCTGTTTTTTGTTTTTGTTTTTAAAAAGAAGACTAGTGAGAACTGGTAAGATGGAGAGTGGACAGCCTTACATACTGCTAGTGTGAGTGTAAATTGGTATAGTTTATATGTATAATGGTGTTGCTTTAGGTATGAAAAAAATTCTAAATGTTGATACCCTCTGACCCAGTCATTCTAATTCTAGAAATACCTGAAGAAAATAATCTCAAATAATAAAACAAGGCTTTATGCAAGGAAAATGTTCTTTGTACTCTTATCTACATAAAGAATGGGAACCTGAGGTCCAACAGTTAGGGGAGAACCACAGAGGGGACGAGGCAGCCCACAGTAGGGGCTGGGCCAGGGTCTGGCTAGACTGTGGACTCTTGTGGGGTGAAGGATCTTGCAGAAGCAGGGCAGCTGCAGGCTTTGGGAAGCTGCAACACTAGTAAATTTACCTAGGCAGGGACTTGGGCACAGGACACAAGACATCATTTTGGAATGAGAAGAATCATTTACAATAAGCATATAAATGTATATACATCAATAAATATTTTTGTGTAATTGGGGAGTAGAACACAGTCATTGAAAACATGAGATACAAATCAGAAAGACTTGGATTCAAGTCCCGATTCTAGCGCTATTGTGAAGATGTGGGCAAGTTACCTAACTTCTGTGGTGAAAGGTACTTACATGTACCTTTCTTCTGTTTTAAAATGGGAGCCACAATAGCACGCATCTCATGGGGTGTGTGTATCACTTAATGAGGTACATGTAAGGAGCCCTGCTCATCACAAATACTCAGTAAGTATTAGCTATTATCATGGAGTAGACACAAATGTTCCCAGCCCCCAGTAATTGCCAGAACGTTCCTCCCACATTTCCTTCTGTGTATAGATTCTATTGCTTCTATAATTATCAGATGGCTGTCTTCTACTATCTTCTTGTCCTTATATGTGGAGGATATTGACATTAATGAGATAGAAATAAAACACATGTATCTCACAGGGCCAAAGCCTATAGCATAGAAGGACCTAAGTCCTATAGTTCAGAAGGACCAAAGTCCTTAGTTTAAGCCAAAGCCCAGCTCTTTAGGAAAACACATAGAAATGCTAAGATTAGGAAAGACCATAAAACTTTCACAGGACTAAAGCCTTTGGTGTAGATAAGAGAACTGAAGCACAGCAGAAATGATTGCTCTGGGGGCAGTTGCCCTTGGTGCAGCTAAACGTAAATGATGGGAAAGTATGTGAGCTAAGATCTTCGAGGATATTCTGCTAGTTAGTGGTTGGGGGACGTTCCAATCTTACCCTCGGATGTTTCTTTAAGTTTCTTGGGGAGCTAAGTGCTGCTATGGTGATTATCTCATTGTTTCTTTTTGTATGGCACATTGCTTAGTTTTATGACTCCTTTTGATGGTAAATTGCTTGAAGTGTTTTACGTTACACCTGCTTTAATGAAGCCAGTTTGTTTATGTTTTCACTATGATAGAGTAACCACTTGTGTTTCTTCTGTAACTTTCTTGCCTGTACAATAAAAATTGAAGCGAAACCTGCTCAGGGGCTGTGCCTGGGCTCTCCTCTCTTGAAGGAGTTCTCCCTGGGTGCAGTCCCTTTGGGCTTCTTATTGCTCAAAATACACTTGTGTCTCTGTCACTCTGTGAGAGGTGACACTTATACCCTAACAGGACAAGACGACTCTGCCTTGGCTTGGAAGTTAGGGCAGAGGGAGCTGGAGCGAGGTGAGTAACTTTCTTTAAATAGCAGCCAGTGGATCCCAGTAGACAGAGAAACCCTGGGTTAAGTCCATTTTGGCATTTGCTACCACCCCAGAGGGAACCGCCAGAGACCTGGCCCCTCGCCACTCCCTGTTGCCACATTTGGCTCATATTCCATCCCACAATTTATTTTCTCCTGCCTAAGGGTGAAGCAAAACCTCCCAGCCTGGACGCAGACCGGTGAGCTGTAAGGAAAACCTCTCAGAGATACCGTTGCTGGCGCCATGATGCCGAAAGACAACAGCAACAGCCCAGGTAGTCACTTCCGCTTCTCTGGCTGTTCCTACTTGTGTCCTAGAGGTGAGGGTGGCACCTCCAAAGCTGAGTTAACCTGCAGAGGAATCAGGGTCTGAGAAGGGGATTGGTGAGCATGCCTCAAGCCCCAGGAGAGACCAAAAGGAGTTTCCCAACCCAGGGTTCTGGGGGCATCTTCTTCCTGGTCCTCTCCTTGGGGTGGCTTGGCCAAGGTGCCCACTTCCTCCCTACCCCTGCCACCTAGCAAATGACTCACATGGGGCCAGAACAGCCTGGGAGAAGTGGGGGATGGCAGGAGAGGGGAGTGCAGGTGGAGAGAAGGGGGCAGGAGGCAGGAAGGGTGGGGAGAGGAGGTATATTAATAGCCCTGACCTCTCACCTCCTGTTCCTGGCTGACCCTGGGGCATTATCAGCAGAGGCTGATCCCTCCAGCTCTTTCCCTATGGCCAGATCAACTGCTCCAGAAAGAGTGACTCAGAGTCCCACTGATCTGGACCCCAGTCTAGCCTTTGCCACCTACCATCTGCGTGACCTGGAGCTCCTTGCCCCGTCTTACCTGTAACATAAGAATATTATTTCCCCATGTTGTTACGAGGGTCAATTGTAACATGTGTACATGGCCCAGGCCAGTACCTGCCACATTGTAGTACCCCCTATGTGATGGTTTTCGTCCCCTCTACCTGGAACCTGTTTATTACAGGTAGAAACTTCCCTCCTCCCCCAGCAGCTGTATAAGGGCCCCTGTCCCATGCTGCCAATTGTAAGCACCTGCTTACCAGGTGTGACTGCCTCAGGCTGGCTCCACCCCTGTGGCAGGTCTCTGCCTGGGTCCCTAGGCTTTTCTATACATCCTCTGGAATCTGGGTGGAGGCTGCCACGCCTCCACTGCTCTCATGTCCTGCTGGCCTGCAGACTTAACACAACGTGGACACCACCGAGGTTTCAGGCCTCTACTCTCCAGGGCTGCTGCACGAACCACACTTGGGGCCACTCCAGCTGGAGCAGCTGGGATGCAGGGAGCAGGTTCACAAGGGCAGCTGCGCCCCAGGTCTGTCCTCCAGGACAACTCAGTCCTTCTAGGCCTCAGGGCCTGTGATGGGTGGGGCACCCTTTCAGACTTCTCAAATGCCTTTAGGGCTTTTTTCCCATTGTCCTGGTTCTTAGCATCTGGCTGCCTCACTACCAAGTTAATGTCCTTGGCAAACAGTTTATCTGCTTCACCTTTGCATTTTTCTCCTGCTCTCAGCTTCTCTATCTAATGGCCAGACTGCAAATTTTCTAAATCTTTACTCTCTGCTTCCCTTTTACATTCTGGCTTTAAGGGCCTGCCTGTGGCTCACTTGGGAGAGTGTGGTGCTGACAACACCAAGGCCATGGGGTGGATCCCTATATAGAGATGGCCAGTTAGCTCACCTGGGAGAGCGTGGTGCTGACAACACCAAGTTAAGGGTTAAGATCCCCTTACTGGTCACCCCTATATATAAATTAATTAATTAATTAATTAATTAATTCTGGCTTTACATCATTCCTTCACTGCCATAACTCAGCATAGGCTGTTGGAAGTAACCATGCAGCTTCCTAAATGCTTTGCTGCTTGGAAATTTCTTCTGCCAAAAATTCTGGTTCACAACTCTCAAGTCCCACCTTCCACGAAGTCCAAAGGCATAGACACAATGCAGCCAAATTCCTTGCTATGGTGTAGCAAGGGTGATCTTTTGTCCAA